AATCGTGGCGAGTCTTGACCCACCGCGACTACCATTCCAGACGCTTGTGGACAAAATGAACTAGAATTACTGCCCTCTTTGATGTTAAATAAGCTCTTCGTTTGCCAGCTTGCTGCAGTAAAATTTAGTTGCACTATAGCACTTTAGAGTTAATTCTGTCATTGCGGCCTAAATATTTCAGCGTTTTCATAAAGGTCCCCAAGTTATTTACTATTCAGAGCAATTTAAAATCACCGCCCCAAAACTAAGGCATCTTTCCTCTAAGCACTGGTTCGTAGACAAATTGATGTGATCGCAAAGCGTGCATTTGTAGTCCTGCAAATCACTGTGCCCGTAGTAAAATTTCCTTCAGCTTCGTTGGGTCATTCTTCACTCTTTTTTACTGTAGAGACACCAAATCTGTTACCATCACAGCAGAAGCATCCTCCTCAAATTTAATTTCGATGCCTGGTTGATTGTGTTCATCATGAAATCGCTAAAGGCAAACTGTGAAATTTTATTATTTATTTTACTAAAGTGGTATGATCATGTAATTTCAACTTACCAAAGTATAAAACCCCGAATTTTAGGAGTCAAGACCTCCAAAGCACTGCATCAATCGAACAGACTGACTTCTAAAATGCACTCTGGGCGTGCTCCATCCAACTGTCTCTGCAATTGACGCTGAAGATAACACCAGACCACATAGAAAAATGACTAACTACCAGCCTTGCCCGAGGTTCGCAAGTCCGCGAAGTGGAACCTCAGCCCCGCGGTGTGGGTGGTAGATCCACGGGCGCGCATTTGAGTGTGTGCGTGTGTCAAGAGCCGCAGACAGACGGGGAGTGAATTGGGCCGGTGTGGGCGGGTCTCAAGGTCGAGCTTGTGAAGCCAACTTGGCATTACGTCAGCCAGTGACTCACTCCACAGAGGAGAGGTAATTACCTGGTTGGGCTTTGTCATGATTGCGTAGAGGGGTATGGAAATGCTCTTCACCAGCCACATTTTAACGCTACGGGACAGCCATTTGCAAGTAATGTGTGTTTGCACACGAACAACCGTCTCCACTTCCATGTGAGTTTAAGAGTTTCTTAACCTCACGGCCTTAAGCGTAACTGTTCACTGCGCAGACTCACACAATGTGCAAAATATGGTGCAGTGATTTTACCTCTCGACCGCCATTGTCCAAGGCCAACAGGAACTCATTGAAAAAGGGGTGCAGAAGATTTGCACTTTTGACTCAAAAAACCACCGCCAGGTTATCAATGGATGCAAAACAATCCAGACGACCAAAACCTAATTTTCGGGCATGGCCACAGGAATGGGATACCCTCTTGAAGCTGAGACCAAGTTCATGAGTTGACGAGTTATGAAATCTCCCAATACGCGTAAAATTGGTCGATAATGGCATGAAAATATTAATTTTAGATAAAATAACCTAGTTTTTGTCGACAGGAACGCAAAAAGCGGAATATCATTTCTTGGTGGTTTTGTCACTGATCATCTGCCCTCAGACCATGTTGGTGGTCCTGAAGTCCCTCCAATGCCGGCAATGCTTTAACAGAAAGGCTGAAACCATTCCCGTATTCTGTGCGAAAACTGCCAACAGCTGGTGGGACACGAGCCATAGTCGTATACCATGCAGGAAGGATCGGTAAGAAGATTTTGCGGTTGTCACTTGAAGATGTTGACCAAATGAACAGGAATTATCCTTTCCATAATGATAACTAGCTGCATGGAACACAGGTAGCGATAAAAAAGAAAGGCTGCAAAAGCCTATAATCGCGAGACTAGTCTACCTTACTCCCTACTGAATGGTTGAGTTTAGAATAGCGAAACAACCACAAATGATGAACTCAGGGAACGGTTCGCATATACCTCATCGGATCAAACCTCCCCACCCAGTAGAATCGTTTGGAAGGTCAGCTGCGTTGCATGGAAAATCATCGAAGTGAAATGCTGTTTCGCTTGATTCCAGAGACTGTGGTCAAGGGCGAGGAATCACGTAGTCCGTTTAGCTCTTCATTTTAATTACATGAGCGTCATAAAACTACACCTCCATCGAGCAATCCGAATGAAAAATAAGTGCGAAATGGAAAAAAAACAGGAAATAAATAGGAGATACGTTTGATACTATCTAGACTGAGGGCATAAATGACAAAAGTATAGAAAAAGAGAGACGACTTGGGTCATTTCTGGCTTGAGAAGGCGAAAGTCAGGAAAGTGATGATCAAGCGCAAATTTACCAAAAAGAAATCCTAGGTCGAAGTGGGATTCTCAATGACTAAGGGATAAGTGAAGGAATTTGGCAATGTGTATGCTGACGTAATTGTCATATTGGCCGAACAGCACCTGAATGAATTTCGAATGAATTTCGGAACCAATTGTCAAAACATCGGCTCCATGCCGCCTCAGTGGATGAAAACTCTGAAGGAGCTTGTGTGACTTCTTCTGAGACAAGAGAAAGTGTAATTCAGGAATGGGGATCATAGCTTTTGACATGACCATCACACTTGGTAGAGGCAATACTTTCATTTAGTGGGTGCAGCCGACACCAGCAATGAACTAACCGTAAAGTGTTGCAAGTGGGGAACGTCTTCAACTTCTTGAACGGAGCATGTTCAATCCAGATCAAGATCTACTCTAATCCTTACATGTTGAGTCAAACGGTTGCATGAGAAACATTATGCCATGAATGGCGAGGCTTTAGTGAAACGAAAATCATTAAAAAGTTGCGAAATGTTGAAAGGCTTGCGGTAAAACAACATCCGTTTAATCGCCTCAAATAACAATGGTGCAGGTTGCAAGATTTGCTGCCAAACGAATGAAAGGAGGCGAGAGACGGTCAGTGCTCGGAGCAAATACGTCATTTTAATTTCGTGCAAACATTGGACAACTTTTGAGCTAGAAAGAGTGACAGCAAGGTAAATCCATCTTTACAAAGGACCGAATTTTAAAATGTATTAATTCCAGCTAAATGCTGCAAACTTACCGCAAAGCTCAGCCAAGACGATGACACAAAGTCCAATAATTGTTAGGAAAATGTTCTTCAAATACATTGACATGGAATATCAAATGCTCACTCCTAAGGCCGACATAAAGAGTAAATCATCTTCTAATAAACTCATTTTAGTGAACGATGACATTTGGAAGAGGAAACTACTATTCTGCGAATGCAGAGAACGGCACCTAAGGTAACTGCTGTTGTGTACAACTGAGTGAAGCAGAATCGGAACAGGAAACTTGTCAAGAAACTTTGGAAAATAAAGAGAACACACTGTTGAATGACTGATGGTCGAGTGGGCAAGACATCGTGCACTACCTCGAGAGGAAAGGGGAGAGGAGGGAAGGGTAGTTGAGAGTAGTCGAGCAATTGAATGCAAAGGTGGCAGTCTGATGGATTTCAGGAAGTGTGCTGTTCATCATACCGCCTAAAAACCGAGATGCTGCATTCCAAGGTCTGAAAACACCGTTTTAAGGTGACAGGCGATCAGTGCAAACAGCATAAGAAATAGGGCACAGCTTGGAATCAAAATGTTTAAAGATCAGTTGAGTTTTATTGCTCTATTGTCAACAAATGACCTACGCCAATGTATCCGATGGGTATGGCAAAGGTTGATGCATTCCAACCTCTTGACTGTTGCCAAAACGCATGTCATTTGCGTGATCCACACAACCGTTTCCACTTCCATTCAACAGCACGATGCTTCTCCATGCATCAGTAAACTTGATTTAAAGCAATTGAACCTCCTTCGTCTCCCTCTCTCAACATTGAGGCGCGTCAAGGAAGAAGCGCTATCATAGGCTTTGCATTTTGATATCAAGATTTGTGACGTGTAGCATGAAACTCAAACCTAGTTGCAATACTAATCTTGGGATCTTTATCCAGAACCCCCACTTTATGATTGCAACTTTCCCACATTCTCCATCAATTCTCCCATGTAGTTCAATGATGCCACTAAACTGTAGGCGAGGTGATCGCTCATGCGTGTGAGACCGGTTTCGTCAACTCAAACACCTACGTCCTTAATTCCACTGCCTCCAAATGAACTTTCAAAGCCCAAGGCCCTCTTTTCCGTTTGTTACACTACCACTTTTCGCTCCTGCCTTCAAATGCCAAGACTATTAAAACGCCTCTAACCATAAAATGGAGGCAATGGGAATAAAGAAGTAGACTTTGACAGCCCCTGCAAAACAGTAGCAACAATTGTGCTATGCACACTGACGACTTGACATCCAACCAATCGACCGACGGCGGTCAGCTAGTGTCGATCGCTTTGATGCTACCGCAATTCTGAAATTCTAGGACTAAAGTTGATTTCTATGAATCACTACCATTTATTGCTTACGTCTTGTTTGACATTGAAGCGCAAACGCACCAACTTGTGCAATCCACGTTAACCAAACTAGGTGGTGAAGGAATTTCGTGGGGAGGTGGTGACATTCCACCGCTTTGTAATCGCAAAAATCAACCCCAGCCGTGAAAGTGAGAAGAAACAGTCGGATTCCAGTAAAACACGGCGTCTTTGCATATACACATATATACAACCAATAAAGCAAACAGACGGTGCTTCTTCAGTGTGAGCAACTTTGTATTCCAATGTCTGTGTATGTATTTGTGGGAGTCTGTATGAATACTTGTAATAATAATAATGTAATAAAATAAAGCAACACGAGAAAAAAACGGTTCCTGGGATGGTTGATTCACGCTCACAAAATCACGCCGATAGGAAAAAAGGAAGAAGCTTGGAAAAGTCTCTGTTTCTGCCACAAGCACACGCACGCACACATACAGCCAGAAAAGTTGTGAGGAGGAGATACAAAAAAATGAACAATAAAGGGCACTTTGCCCATAAGTCTCTTGCCTAAAGCTCTCTCTCTCTCTCTCTACCATCAAGCAAACGAGACAAACAATCCAAGAATCTGGTTGGCTGATTTAGTTTGGTTTGAGGAGACAGTCATGAAAAAATAGACATCGGTATCATCGTCATCATCATCTCATAAAGGGGACAGAGAAGGTTCTATTCGAAGGTCGAAGCGGAATTTTCAACTCTTTCTGAGGAGGCAGCTAAGGAAGCTGCTTTCCAACGAGAAGGTGCCTTCGTGGAGACTCTCCGACGGCGCCCAAAATCGACCTCACTCTGTGCAGTGAGGGTCAACTTGATGGCAGAGGATTTCAGACAGCCGGGGGCGTTTAATAAACGTGCAATCCGACACATCTTAGTGGAGTAGAGACGCAAATACACGCCAGGTGGTTTGGACTCCTGCATTGGTCTATTTGGTGCCTTTTCCTTTTCCAATTGAATGACGGTAGTGGTTGGTGTGGTAAATGGGGCCTGAGTTATTGCTTCTACCTCTATCGCCGGTACTGTGGATACTAAAAGGTAGAACGAAATCGTGATCAACTACTACCTACAATCCAGAAATGCGGAGCCCCACTGCCTAAGCCATCCAAAGGATTAAGGGTTAGCAATAAAATGATACTGTGGCTGACTATATGCGAAAAACCAGTGAGGTAACCTAAAACATTACCACGGTCAATAAAAATGAAGCAAACAAAGCAATTTGGAAATCCAACATCTCCTTAAAAACGCGAAAATTTCGCCGGCCAAATAGGCTGAAATGTACTCTCTCCCTGAAACACCTTCTGCATGTACTCAAAAGCAAACAATACTGATCCGCCTGTTTGAAAATTCTACCATTTTAATACTATTGAGGTTATTCACTTTAACTCAGCCTCAACATTTCAAATCGAGCACTAATAAGTTATGTGATGGCAGTTCCACTGCTCCCAGGCAAAAAAGCCTGCAAAAAAAGAAAAAATCAAATTTCAGGTCGCGAGACAATAACATAAACTACCATTATCCGAAAGATTTAATTGCCCGCCTCGAGACTAATAAAGTCCACAAAGTCAATCAGAGCCGAGTGACCAGAAAGAACAAAAATGACTGAAGATCCTCTAAATAGTACTGAAAAAAGTCTTGGAGCCCATTCTCTTCCTGTATTCATTCTCTACCCTTGGGAATGCTTCGGTGTTGAAATACCAAGCAACCATCAATATTTCTCGAAACTCACAATGAACAATATTTGTAGCAATTAAGCAAGTCGCCATTAGAACCTTAGGAGGCAACCCAACACTCCAGTCCAGAGGTCTTGTTGTTCTTACAAAGACAGGAACCACCGATTCAATCATGACCGAAAAGCTAAAGCATGCCGTTGCCCTCGGACCAAAGAACACCGCCTCCATTGTTTTATTGTTACAAACTCAACCAATGCTTTTGCGACACACCAATTGGTGAAATCAGTTATCATAAATTGCTAGAGGGCGTCACGTGTGAAGTAAAGTGGAAAGTCGAGGCATCATGCATGTGCTAACTTTAGCATTAACTTCTTTAACAAAATATGGAGAAACTTTGCGGAAGGCTGCGATCTTTCATCGGCTCAGTGGACACATTCAAGCAGGATTCACTTTTAATCCTTATCAAGGCATATCCCCTCTGTCACTACTTTACTCACGACCGTGGCGCCTAAGGCAGGAGCACGCATGATCCGCCGATGCGACTCGGTGCTGTCGTGAAGCCATAAAAGTGGATTCCTTCACGTGTGTCGCCAAAAAAGAGGGCGCTCCTATGATGATAATAACACCTGCAACACGCAATTCACATGGCGAAGTACAAATTATGAAAGAGACGTAATAGAGACAATAACTGTTAAGGATTAATTGGATTATTCGGGTAGCATATAAGGAAGAAAATTATTCACATCTTCAAGTGAGAAATCACATGAGCACTACCCCCGGGACATCACTTAAAAACATTCGCGTTATTATTATCTGACATACGTCATACTATTGGTGGGAGTGAATGTCAAGGCCTCGACGGAAGCCAAAGCTACTGAAATAATGAAAACTAGTAGAAGTGAAGCACATAATTTGGAAGTTAGCCCTATGCCCGATCGAGGGTTGGGTTAGTGAGGTGATAAAGAGGACATTTTAATCACAATCGAATTGGTTATGAGTAGTTCGTTAGGTTCAGACACCACTCAGAATTAACTTGAATTTAATTTATTAAGCGAATTAGACCGGTGTCAATACTTAAGAAACTGGTTTACCCAATTGTCGGGAGACTCAGATAACACTGGAGAAACTTGGCTTTGAAAACCAATCAAATCATTGACAAAAAATGAGACCCAATGAAATGTTAATGTCAAATGACAATAATTCTGCACACGAAATGATGACTTTGCGACTAATCACCACTTACTGACATGAAGAAGGGAAGGCGATCAGTAATGTGTGCTAATCGTGCGATGGGCAGTATGTTGCAAAAACACGTGGACCCAGGGTCACAAACATGTGACCTATACCTTGCCAATTTATGGTAACCAGGGCTTGTTACAGCAAACCAAATGTCACAAACAGACTTAAAACAATAAAACAGGCAAAGGAAAACTACATTTTCTAAGTCCTGAAAAGCATATGTCTCTGCACTTCTCAATTATTCCTCATATTAGCTAAAAGCAGGCCCTCCGAAATTGTATCATCTTACTTTTCACTTCTTCCACCTTAGTATCTGCAACATTCGAAGGTTTTGGAGCACCAGGGATATCACTTCCTACTGTTTCCATACCAGCCATGGTCGTGGTGGCGCCTTCATTATCAGGTGCAGTCATAAGTTCAGGCGTGACAGGAGGAGGGAAAACGGGAGGTGTAGAGGGGATAGATGGGAGAGAGGGACAGGCAGAGGATTCAGGTGATGAGGCCCGATGTTGAGATGGGATTACGACGCCCACACCGACATCCTCTTCCTCTTCTACCTCCAATTCCTCCTTTGCAGCCGCTGCGACCGAATCTTGGGGAGGTGGTGGATCTAGCTTCTGTTCCTTCCGCTTCACTTCTTGGTCATCTTGTGGTTGCTTTTCCTGAGTCTGGTGAGCGCCCGTAACTTCTGCTACCGTTGCCATTGCCAAGGACTGAGGTTTAGGAAGGAACTCGGACCCTTGTCGATCATCCTGGAAAGTAGACTGAGGTGCGTGTTTAAAACATACAACCTTGAACGCAAAACGAGAGAAGTAGCAACAGCAGAAGAGTAATGATGTGTCAAACTCGGTATCCGCTTTTAGCAAAGGACATTAGCCACGCACAGTGATGGAATAAAACACTGGTACTAGTCTCCAGATAAATAACAAGATTTCTGCCCTAAAAATTAATACAATTCAGTTAAAAAAAATCGGATCCTAACTAAACCAAACAGAGTAAAAAAGTGACCTACGGTCCTAATTTTGGAAGGCTCCTGTTCCATGAGGAAGTCGGCCAATTCCTCTGGGTCCGCAAAAGGTGGTGCAGTAAGATCGCCCATCAAAAAAGCGGGGTTTAGAAGACGAAATTGTGAAGCCTTCGCCAGCATTGAAATCAATTTCTCTTTTGGACCTGTACAACAATCAACGACCAAGCTGCAAACGTCAAAAAGATCCTCCTCGCCCCCTTCCAGACCATCGATAATTCCTGGCGAAAGAAGGTCTGACTTTGGGAGTGACTTGGTCACCTCCCGTTGAGGTGTTCTTGTTGCCAATTCTGGAATGGTAGAGTTCTCCCCACCCGATGGTAAAGGTGTGTTGATGAATACAGAAAGCACGGATGATCCAGTAGTTGAACAACTCTGGAAGGACATGGATGCAGCTGGCGGCGGAAGGATTACTCTCAACGGCTCAGCGTTTGCAATTTCATTCACTGAGTCCACTGTCTGTGCCTCCGAATTTTCCATAGGCACCGATAACACTTCAGTTTCCGCCTCTAGCATGGAGATGGGCAAAGGGGAAGGTTCACGATCTTGATTCGTGTGCGAATGTGTGACCATGGAACAACTTCCAGAGCTGGACTGACGAGTATGAGGATAAAGATGCTTTTTCTTCTTGGTGATAGTCGACATTCTCGAGTGTTCTTCATCTCCGGTGGCTCGGGTTGCTTCCAAATGGAGCTGAGTTCTTGCCTGAACGGAGAATCGTGCTAGCGACGCAACCAATTTATCCACCCATCCAACATGAAGAACGGGTACTGCCGATCCTTCCTCCCATAGACAAAGGTGGTCATAAAAGGCTAGAAGGTAGCCCAGGCAGATGGGACTGTCTAGAGGTTAAAATAAGTCCGTTTAGAATAAGTTGATCAGACTTAAAACTGCAGGAAAAGTAACCCACCTAGCAGGTTTGGTCTCGTGGACATTCCAGCTCGAAGTTCTACAGCACATAGTCGAAATATTTCTGGAATTACTCGTGTCGCAATGTCTAAGAATTCTCGATATATTTCTGCGTCCTCTGAACTGTGGTTGTACCTGAGGTGAAAGAAGGAAGATTTCAGCTGGGAGGCAGTCGGATACATCCATAAAAGAACGAATCTACTTCCAGACCTATTACTCTGGTGACAAGATAAAACAAATGGTTGACATACTGTCCAATAACACGAGCGGCTTCAGCCCAACAGCGCAACGCGCCGTGTATATCATCTCTGCGTCGGAGGTAATTTGCCAGATAAATGTAGGGGTAGACGTGTTGGTTGCGGAAGAAAACCCTATCAATTTCCACAGCTCGTCGAAGTAATTCTAACGGGATGTCAGGCTGCCTTAGCGGTGATGGCGGAAATCCAACAGCCCCGCAATTACCATGAACTTCTACAATCTCCGGCAAGACATAGTCGGTGGCGGGCACACCAGAGTGCATCTGAAGATCACATAGAACCTCTTCAAGTCGAATTCCTGTTGAAGGATAGCCTTCTTCAATATCCGCTAAATTAGTTAATCCTAGAGGATATTGATTGAGCATGCCTGCTCGATAGACCATCCATAAAAGAGTCTGCTTCAAACGCACTAGCTGGAAAATGTGAAAAACGACGCCGTCAACAGTGATCGTCAGAAGTAAGCATTCATTAAGTTTGCTTCCGCTCACTTCAGGCGAAATAGTTTCAATACCACGGACAGAGTGGCCGTCACTGGAGGTAGAAAGAGTGCCAGAGGAGAGTTTTCGACGCGGACGTTTGGAAGCAAAGGGTGGTACTGACGCTGTGGTGATCTGATCCATTGGACGAATGGAATTTGACAGACCACAGGGTTGAATAGCGGTCACAGCAGCGGCAACTGAGAGAACGAGGGGGTTGCAGACAACCGGACAGCCGTTGAGGTAGAGCCAGGAGTGGAGTAGGTGTCCGAGTCGGACGGGAGGTGGGTAGAGGGTGGAGGCCGAAACGGTTGTAGTGTTCTTTACAGGAGAAAACACCTCACCAGGCTCCAGTGCGGGTATCACTGAGACGTCAGCTGTTTCACGCCGCTCTGGCGGGCCGAACTCAACCCAAGCGTGGTCCTCGGATAGAGCCAAGTGAACGTCTGTGTAACCCAGGAGCTGGCATGCTGCCACCGTGGCATAAGCCAAACCGAAACTGTCCAGCTGGCCATCTGAATTGGAAGCAAAACATTGCATAAATAACCAAAAAGTAATGACAAAAGAGGAAAAACAATGATAGAATGGAATTTCGCCACCTCTAAAGATACTAAATACGCTGAGAAAAACTCAATTTTTGACTCCCCAGCTGTTTCCTGATTTAAACTTGCGATGAAGCAACCTCACTCCCCACAGGAACTACTATAATATTACAAGGTTAAGGACAATTACAATTAGAATACCAACCAGTCTAGAACTTCCACAGTCCATCCCAAGGGCTCGTCCGCACACGTCATACACTTATTATATTCACAGCAACAGCGAAGGCTTGCCCAACAAAGTTAGACCGTTAGATTTTGTTGTAATTTCTGGTATGGAATCCACGCTTGAATACATCGGTTCGCAATTAGCAAAATGCATCGGGAAGGGATAAATGAAGCGCCAAACCCAGACCCAATCCTCAACGCTTCAGGTCTCCAGTGTCTCCATAAATGCAGAGGAAATTATGCGATTATCCTACTTATTTAAGTGATTGACGAATACAAGGAATGAAGTGGAAGGACGTCGATGGTCCCAGAAACCCACAAGTTGTCAATTAACCCATCAAGAAACTTATTTGGGTGAGCCATTCTACTCCTCTCATTCCTGGAACCATCAGAAAGTGTCGTGAAGTAAAAGTATCATTAGTATAATGAAAATTTAGTTACAGTCTTTAGAAGCCAGTGGCTTACTACCTCTGTACAACAAAAATAAGTGGCAGAAACGTTTAACAAGGCCCCAGACATTCTTGGAAACCAAGCAGATAGCTTTGATGTACAAATTCCAAGTTTACCAAAACCACAAACAAGTGTTTATTCGCAAATGAAGGAAGCATTCTGTACAAAATGGTGATGATGTGGGATGTGTAAGGCAGGAGCAGGATTGAGAGAACTCGACATTACAGACGTGGCGAACAAGGTCGAGTTAGTGAAAGATTAATAATGCCACGCAAAAGAACAAATACCGGTTAATTCAATTCAATTGAAGCTACACCGATGTATTCCATAAGGCAGTGCCACACAATTGGCTTTCTCCGTTTCATGCATCGACCAAAGGGTACCAACAATGATACCTCAGCCCACTTTGAGTTAACAGAATTTGAGTTTTGATAAAATACTTTAAAAGATAATAGCAAATTAGGACATCTACAAAGGATTTTAAGTGGTCCTGTTCTCATTCCGACTCCCAGTCTTCTAGGATTCCGTAGATAAGAGAATGACAACTGAGTCCGACCAAATGCCTGACTTACACTCAAGAAGAGAATAAATTGACTGTGCATGAGCGAAGTGTTCTCGCTGCCTAGCCGGAGAAGCCATGTGAGCGCAGAGGACATCGCAAACTGCCCTCACCAATCGTCGAGTTGACGACGGCCCCAATTTTCTGGAGGTCATTTGATTGGGCAGATCTCTTGCCATCGATGACAACTAAATTGAGGAAGAAGATCCCTAGTTCATACTTGTTCAAATGTCTACTAGCATCTAAAGCCAACTTATCTGGATAAATAAAGAGCATAAATATTCGATTAGGTCAAATGGTCAAGCGACAAATAAACGTCGGATCAGTCATAAGGAGACCCGGATGCATTTTACCGCCATCATTGTGAAAGCAAGGCAGACATGCAACAACTTGCGGAAAACACTGCGTATGGAAGCCTCAGTTGCAAGAGGTGTTGTGCCACTAGTTCCCTACGACAATGATTCCTTAACAGACTCAGACTGAAGGTAGTAGTCAAAACGAAGAGTGAAAAACCCTGAACCTTCTAGACTGTGAGAAGAACGAAGGTAAACCTGTGGAATTCATTCCATTAACAAAGAAACCTCACCAAAGTGATCTGTTCGACCACTACTTCGAAGACAAAACTACAGCAAAAGTAAAAGTTGAAACTTTTATTTCTCATCAAAAATGAAACACGCTTTACGGTGGTCGACTCTATGAAATGCATCCCCTGCAAATGAATTAGAAATTATTCCCTTACAACCACAAATAATTCGTGTAACAATTATTCACTCGGCCCAGACTTTTAACTCAAAGATGCTTCTCACCTTGGGATCATGAACAATCATGGCATAAAATCTTTGATACAACTGCTCCGCCTCTTCATAACGAAGAACAGGGAATTCTGACCGCGCCATTTCAACGGCCACACACATAGACGAAGCCGCTGCACTCATCGGAGAAGGTGTCGAATCACTAGGTGCTAGAGAAGGGGTCGAGGCCACCGGTATATCTTCACCAGACGGAGAAGGAGGCACTTCAGGCGAATTCACTTCATGGGGTGAAGCGGTGATTGAAGGAGCAGTCGTAGAAAGAGAGGTACGAACTGTCAATCGCTTAGCCCCACAATTCGACTGAACCCCGGCGAGTGAGCGTTTGCGTGTGGGTACGGATACGGGTGTCGTTGGCTCGCCGGTGGTGGCAATGTGGCTTTCAATATATCCAAGAATAATAGAAAGGAATGCCAAATTCGGCTCAGGACAGACAGCGGGTGTAGTAGCAGCAGAGCTGCAGGTGGATGCCGAGTCGGAAAGGTGACTAGTCTGAAGCATCTCCTCAAATAACTCGACCAACGACCCAACGGAGACAAGGGGAAAGAATCGACGCCAGACACGCACCGAGGTGCTAGTTGCAGAACGCAGAGTCATTATGCAGGATCTGTAAGGCAAGGGTGAGATGCTCAAAGTGAACCAGGGGCAAAACTAGCATTATTTCTCTTTAGCGTCCGATGTATTTCGAGGTGATTCGTAAAGCAGAGTTGGAAAAGAAGGGAGTGGGACACAAATGCATTTCAGCATCAAAGTAGTGCAATTCATAAAGTCATTGAAGCAAAATAGTGAATACTTGTGAATAAATTAAAAAAGACCCTTTCATTTGAATTCAATAAGGTTAAATGGACGCTTTAGACAGATTGTACTACAAGGATCACCACTTCTCAAACATCCAAAGAACCCAATGTGGGACACATTCGTGACGCACACCGAACCATACGAAATAAAAATCCTGCGCTTTGGGGGAACAAATCAGGTATCAGAGAGCGACAGCCGAAAAATGCTAGACCGTGGACACAGGACCAATGAACTTTCTGGGTTACTCAAGGAGACTAAATGACATGTAAACAGAGCTAATGTAGAATATCTCGAGGCGCTTCCTCTTGATAGAATAATAAACAGTGAACCAAGGAATGCATGAAGGCACCTCGAAAAAAATTTACCAATTGTAATATTCCAACTCTAATAACACCAAAAAGATACTTGTGAGGTCGACTAACAGTTTAATTAGAGCTGTCCATGTTTTGTTTGGTTTTGATTACACAAGAGAGCCAAAAGACAGAACACTGAAGTGACTTAGCAAGAAATAAGGCATCGACAACAACACACTTGTGACACCAATGCAGTCGGTTGGGAAGTGAAACAATATAGTGAACAATGGCTTTCAATTCAAAAAACCAACCTTATTCTCAGAAAAACCAACGTTGAAAAGCACAAATTGAGTGAGTTACTATCGAGAAAAGATAAGATGCACAAACATCAACTAGGGTGGATGTGAATCTTTTCTGCACAATAAGCCCGAAATCAAGACTTACCTCAAACAATTAAGGCATACCCATAAACAACCGTCTACCAGCTATTTGGGAGAGCATATGCTCCCTTCCATATTCGATTCTGTGAATAGCCAATGAAAAATTCGCAACATCATCAGCATCAACGGCTAAGCAATTATTATTCCCACTTTACAAAACTCACTTATGCATATTCTTATAATAATCCAGTCTGTAAATTTCTTTGGTAGCGTATTCACCTTTTGGTTGAAGTCCATGATGTAGATAACCGTTTTGTGCTTGTCTCACACTTGCCGCTTCAGTGATTCTTTATATTTTAAAACACTAAAGAAAAATAAACTTAAAAGATTATTTAGGCCAATGTTTATCTATTTTGATGCATTATGAGTGCCAAATCAGGGCTGTGAAAGACAGATTTGAATGATTTTATCTTTCAAATGTCTCAGAAGCTCCCAATCATACTTTTAATTGATCAATCAATGAAGATAATTGTTAGGTTGAGTGGATACAGACAAGAAGGATGGCGACTGAATGAGATTTACAGATCGAAATTATTGTAATAAATTTATCGTTCGATCAGTGTTTAGTCATCTGTTCGCCCGCTGGCGGGGCCGCAGTAACTACCTGTAGCGGCAAGTACTGAAATTTCATCTGACCGTGGCCAGGCAGTGCTGATCTAATGGCCTCGGTCCTCGGCTTGTTGGGTGAGAGGGAGGGTAATTCTATTTCAAAATGCACGATGAGATTACCGCGTTTTAATTTCCGTGAGTCGATGGACTCAGCTCCTGCACTTCCATCCACATCTGTATATCGAATATCCGGCAGTCCACCACCGGGAATAATTAAAGGGGATAGAGATGATGACATGGGTCCCATTCTGATCGAGAATGACTCATCTCTTAATCCTTTTATCTGTGGTTAAGTCAATAATAGAGTCAGGTTTTAATTTTCACAGTGAGCAATAATGTTTTGCTCTATGCTGATAGTAGATAAAGTGGGCTGACATGTATGCTCACCACAAGACTACCCCCAAAGAGTGCCAGCTTTAGGTCGATTTTGCATCCAGTTCGAAGATTGCAATCTTCGCGGAGGAATAAGTCGTGCGACTCCTCTAAGAGGATAAAGACGACGTCCCCTGGGGGTTCATTTGGTACTGCTTCGTTTCCCTGCCTTTCAAATCGGATGCGTGTGCCATTCTGTGCTCCTGGCGGTATGTTGAAGGTTAGAATCCGATTCTCCCGAACGAAGCGTCCTGACAAACTGTCAAAACGATGGCGACGAATCCGCATTCGACGCTGAGTATCCCCGAGAAGCTCATCAAGCCCCACCTTCACTGGATGCTCGATGTTGCTGTTTATTCGACGAAATGTTTGAGTTGAATAATTAACTGTAGGCTGAGGAAAGTGTACAGTGACTTGACTGATCGGTGTTTTGTTTAAAAAGATAGAATGAGTGTTATGGCAATTGGATACAATCACAAGGCCTAGCCATTTGTACTCATCGTCAAATGTCAACAGTGGAGAGTAATGAAAGTGGGCGTGAATGTAACGTAGTGAAGATCTCCTATGTACAGCCTATAAATGAATGCCTACAGTATGTTTTGCCTGCGGTGCAATGAGGAGATGCCCAACCACTGTTACGCTCCAGATTCTACAGCCCTAAGTTCACCGTCACTAAGATATTCAGGCCTGAAGCATTTAGAAAGAGGCCCTAATTAATACGGCTTACGTTTTTGGTAGCTTCCATACATTGTTTAAAGGTCTTGCTCTCTTCAAAAAGCATTTGAAATGCCTGGTAGGCATCAAATCTGGCGTCTAGAGAGCTTCCAGACGTTCGATATGGTGGCGATCCATTCAAATATCCGTTTCTAAATATATCGTAGAGACGACGTCTTTCCGAATTTCCAAGCACCTTAAAAAGTATTGTTGCCAACTTGCTGTTTGTTGGAATTCAAAGCTTGGTTAACTAGATTCTATCCCGAGCATCATGTACAATGAACTTATAGAGAAGAAAAAAATACTTCAGTCCAAAATTCTCTTTGCAGTCTAGTAAACTTATCATCAAATATGACTGTTTAACGCCGCGCACTCTCGCCACTTACCTCATAGGCTTTGGAAATCTTCTTGAACTTCGTCTCAGCTTCGGCTGTTCCATTTTTGTCTGGGTGGTAGAGGAGGGCTAGTCGACGATAGGCTCTTCTGATTTCCTCCTCACAGGCATCATGAGGCACTTCAAGCAACGAATAGTAATCCATTTGTATTTCCTCCGTGCCGCACGTGGCTTCCGTAACCACGTGGAGCTATGGATCTTTCACACTCTCCTCTCCTGAGATTTCAAAGTGCGCTCATCTTCACCCATTAATTTGTGAAGGAGATTAGCTTCTCGATTGCCTTTTTGACGACCATTTAAGCCGCCTTTCTTGTGTTTCCACCAAGCCAAATATCTTGCGCCACGGGATGATTAGTTACCTTCCAGCTCTTCTTAACACCATTAATGCATTTTTTAAATCTGATTTCGCCTTCATGGAAGATTGATAAAGTAACACCGTTGGCAGCATCAGGAGAACAAATTCTCTGTTTGTAGCTGTTCAATGGTAAACTGTCGTGTGCTTTCTACCAGAAGACGTCTAAATGATGTTAACCTTAAACTATTACGATTTCGTATTCTTTAGCACAAATCATAGCTACAAATTGGCTAGAATAGTTTAGCAGGGAGATGCCAACGATGCTCGTATGACAATGGATGTTACGCAGTCTAACGAGCTGCTAAAAGTCGCTCTCATTCGATCTACCTACACACTTTAAACGTATGAATGCAGAGGTAAAAAGATGAAATCAACGAGGTCACCCAAAAGAACGTTCTTTGTTCACCAAGAGCGTTTTGTAAGTATTCAGCCAAGATTACACGTAAAATCGGTATCAATTGACAGTGCGCTGCAATTGTCACGATGGCACGACTCGTTATTTTGGGCTAAATGGGCAGAAGTAGCGGTGCAAGACGACAACTGCGTAAGTATTTAAATAATCCTTTCAATAATGATACAAACTTGGCGGTCCTCACCTCCAAATCGTGTCACCCACAGCGCGGTTCTAGTGAGCGTTTTTGAATAAAAAAAGTATAAAGGAATCGACTTAGTTTAAACACGTCAAAAAGCCTGTTCGATTGTTTTAACTTGATTCAACAAATGAGTGCCGACAACGCATTTGGATTGCTGTCATAGAATGCGCAAAGTGATCGCGAAGAGATCATACCGACTTTTCCATGTCAGTGTCAGTGAAAATGGAAAGACTGGAGTCCTGGCGCCTCGACAATGCCACTGACGTGGACGAACAAATTGAGGATGTACTGATACATCCAGAAAGGTAAGCATTTGCGATTCCTTCCATTACCAAAGGTCAAACAGAGTAGAAGGAATCTACGAAGTCAGAAGACCACTTGAAATGCCTCAGAACTCAGAAAACGCTATTACAAATTTAAATTTTCATCCACATGGCTTTTCTCCGTGAGTCACACTACGGTCAGTTGCCACGTTTGGGTAAACGAATTATGTACATGTTGGTCAGTGCAAGTTACCTCACCAGAGTCGACAGCAACTTCATTAAAATGCAACTTTAATGAGTTGATCATAACAAGTTAAAAGTGCGATAAAGAATGACGGAAGGCACGTCATCCTCCACGTCTCCTGCAAAGTGGTGCGCAATATTTCTTTGTCTGGAAACTAACGCATAGGGAGACGATTTCAGTTGTTAAGACTAAGCAACCGAGTCTAGCATTTGAGACAACAGACGATTTGGTCGAGAGGCGGTATTGCAGGCAAAACAGATTTCCATCGGAAGCATCGCTTCACTTCACTTCCTTATCACCAAACTCCTAACTTGGTTTCTTCAGTCTGGTTGGCGTCCCGATGCATGCAAAAGCCAGCATTGGTTCATTCAGTTGCAAAAGGAAGGTCACATTTTCCATCTAACGTGTTACAACTCTTGCCGAGATTTCTTACTCAAATCACACACCACCTAATTTAGTTGAGCTTTGGTCGGTAGCCAAATTTCACAAATGCAGATCGTTTCGCAATCAAGTCTACTCAAGTGATTGCATTCAACATTTTCAGCAAAACTTGCCAAAGCGGTCATTCTGCTCAATTTTGGTAAGGTTTCTATATGAGCACGTGCAAACTAGCTCTTGATATCGTCACTTTATGGACAGCACCGGTGGAATTCAATTCCAAGTCATCAATACGCCTGTTGTGTTCAGCAGTTGTCCAACTGTTCCCACGGCCGTCTATGCGAGTCAGTGGGTGGACGCGACCACCGCCAAGATCGCCATCAGTGCACCGTCTGATTGACTGCGTGGCTGACGGAAGATCTGCTTAAGTATCGCTATTTTTCCATCCAATGTCCCAAACATTAAGGGTTCTTTAAACGCCAGATTGGACTTGGTCTAGGGAGGTTCGGACAACCGCTATTGATTGTATGCCCATTTATCAACTACCTTCAAGTCCTTTTGAGTGTCGTTAGCCGTCTCAAAGATTTTACCCCCAAAAGCACCACTACAAACTACTTTACGAATGTCAATATGTTTTTAAGTACTTTGTTGGAGTCGTTTCGAGTTACCACACGCTCAGCCACCACAGTGACTAGTTGGCGCCCCTCGGCATCCCAGGACAAAGAGCGAACAATGTCGCAAGTAGTCAAATCTGAATAAAAAGCCAGACGCATGGTGCCGCATAGATGGGGATGTAGGGAAGAGCGGGCTGAGGATAAGTTGGAGAGTGGTCATTGGGGAACAGAAAGGGTGGACAGTGTTCAGATAGTAAGTAGGGCGGAGATCAGTGAAAGTGTGAGGTGTGCAGCGGTGTTCATTTTTTGTGACAAATTCATTCCCATGCCATTCAAAAGCACGGAAAAGTGGTGCTATACATACACGTACAAGTAAGACAATCTGAGCGAAATCCAACTGCGAAATAAAGGCACATCCTTCTCTCCTCGTTCTTGGCTCGAGTGAATGGTCATGGATTCGGGGTATCAGCACAGTAGAAAGGCCATAAGATAATAGTACTCGTTTGTACAGGTTATGGGCTAATCCCGAAGTATAAAAATACGTATTTATAGGTATGATCGAGTGTTTGTTAAGCGGGCTTGGAAGCAGATATTATAAATAGTAGAAGAGACGAAAATCTTTCCCTTTTGTTTGCTAGGTAAGTGATGCGGTCAGAAATACAGACAGAGAAGTGAGAGAGCGGGAGAGAGGGAGTGCCGGCGGACGGGCGGGCAGAGGCCGGTGACAGTGAAAGGCGTGCTAATAGAGGAGACGGGGAAGGAGAGGCAGCAGTGTCTCTGTTGAAAGCCCGAAAATATGCTGAAGTTGTCGTCTTCGTCTCCGCCTCTTTGTCGGTTATACTTTCCGCGGCTTGCGCAAAATGTTCTCCAAATGACGCATGTCATTTTCACTGATTTTGTTGGACAGTGTTCGTCCGGCTATAGATATGGCGACGTGAAGTGAAGGAAAGACAATGACTTAGTTCGGTAAACTAAGAGATTAACGAATGCTCAAAATAAACCAGAAACAAAATTTGAGGGCAGCAGCAACACGAGCAGTGCTTTGGTGAGTCGAAAATGGGAAAAAATCGCAAAGAAATTCCAATGCCTTTTGTCTTCCTGTTATTAGTAAGGGAAACAAACCAGGCTTTCATCAAACAATAGCTCGGAGGCGTAAAAAGTTTTAACAGGGACTTGCAAAGCATGGGGAATGGAGTAGATAGGGAAGGAGTTCAAAGCATTAAAATATCCTAAGAACACCATCCTGTGATTAGGTGAGACCCAATGGTCTGCTATTCAAACGCCTCGTGCCGAGGCGAACAGCGCCGAAGATCCGTCACAACCTAGCTCATCACCATTGTGGTAGAACGGTGAAGGTTCCAACTGACAAAAGAGTGAATGACTTTCCTAAATTAATGCGAACTCTCCCAGAGGCGGGCTAAAAATGAGGCTCATGGTGTGAGACACCACAAATACAAGTACTTTTCGGTTCAGTGATCCGGCTGTTGTTTCAATGCGCGTTGTTCTGGTGTGTATCTCCATCGTGGCACCATGGTTCGTTGATCTATACTAAATGAGGCCCTCACCGTGCCGATGCAGTCTTAATGCATTGACTGCATTGGCTAAACTTGTCCCAAAGTGAACATGCATGTGGGAAGGCAAGAACTAGAATGTACCCTAGAAACTGGGAGTATAAAGTTCTTCAATGGCCTACTTATCTG